CCCCCCCCCCCTCTCTCTCTCTCTCTCTCTCTCTCTCTCTCTCTCTCTCTCTCTCTCTCTCTCCGCCCCCACCTCTCTTTCTTCTGTACCAGGGATCAAACTTGGATCCTTGCACCTGCAAAGCAGGCGGCGGAATCACTGAGCTAAATCTCCGGCCCCATAAGCACGCATTATTACTGTAACTTCAACATGTTAAAAAATTATAATATACCCAGTGTTGGCAGAGTATCAGGTAAATAGTAGCAGTTAATATTTACAAATGTCTAATGCATGCTATGTACTGTGCTGAATGCTCACTATGGGTTATCGCCTTCAGTCTTCACAGACACGCTATAGCTATTAAACCGCACCCCAGAGGGGAGCCTGGGTGCTGAGAAGATCCAGAACCTCCCCAGCATCACACAGCTCCCGCTGCTACCCGAGATTGGCACCCAGACAATCAAACCGGAGCCACCCTGAAGTTGATCCTCCCGCCTCCCACCAGAACACTTCCTGCAGAGTGCAGACTATCACAAGGGTGATATTTTCACAGCATGGCTCAGAACTTCTAGGGTGTGTACACTGTCTGATCCAGAAAATTCCATGTCAACATATCTAAGCTAAGAAATAATTGTACTTACACACAATGGTACATACCCTGCAATTAAAAAACATAAACTTGAGTCATTTGTAAGAAAATGAATGCACCTCGAGACTACAATGTTACATGAAATAAAGCACACAAGCTTAAATATCACAGTTTCTCTTATATGAGAAAAACGAGTATAAATAAAGAAAAAAATTAAAGATAGATAATAGAAAGTAGAGATAGATCTTTCTTAAAAGAAGAAGGGGATCAAGAGATAGAGGAAAACAGATGAAAAAGAATTAAGGTGTTGTCTTCCCCTGGTACCAGGGATCGAACTCAGGACCCTGTGTTTCGTACACAGGCATGGTGCACTGAGCTGCATCCCCAGTACGAAGGCCTGTTGTGTGCAGGCACCAGTTCTACACAAGGTAAGCAATGCACATATTGTACCAATATGATGAAAAAATTGTAACAAAAATGTTTTTAGCTTAGAAAGAGAAGTGGCAATAAATAATGCCTCAAGGAATGCATGAATGTGCATCCGCAATGCCCGAGAAAGCAAAAACAAAATTAAAAAAGCAAAAAAGAAAAGATATCCACGAATGGAAGGCTGATCTTTTTAAATTGTGATGTAGTCACACAATGTAACGCTCCTCCATCTTCACTCACTTATATGAGTACATTAACCCTGTTATAGTGAAAGGGGCACTGCACAGCGATGTGATCTTGCTTTGTAAAAAACTGCAAACACATATGTGTCCGTGGAAACTGCACAAAAGGCTCAGCCTAACCTGTCCGGGACAGGTCATCAGTCATAGCACAGCCCAAGCGGCTCCTCTTCTGTGGGTTTTGCATCACGGTCTCTGCTCTTGCTCTCCCCTCTGTGATGTACCTACTTGCTTTTGCGTTCTTGTTCATGCCTTTCGCCAACTCCACGCTAAATAGGGGCTGCAACCACATCTGCAGGTTTCAGGTGGGACAGAAAACATCGCTATGAATGCTTGCCCAGCTGATGCTGAACAAATATTTTTACAGGAGATTTGCACCTTGTACTTCATGCCTTCATCCGCTGATCCAGCTTTAACAAGGAGAACGGTGACCATGGCTCTTACTCTTAGAGGGAAAAAATGGGAAAACTCTGTATTGTGGTAAATCTGCAATGGATTGGTCAACCTGGCGATGCAGAGGGAATAAATGCCAAGGAGCTCAACAATCTATTGGATCCTCAGCCCTGAGTCTCCCAGACCTCACCCACATGCCCTGTCCTTTCCCCCTTTCCCTCCCCTTAGCTTTCTCTTTCCTCTCTTGTCCTGATCTTTAATTTTAAGGCATAGACACGTCCTCATTGTTCCCGTGTTCCCACGCGGAGGGAAGACCCAGGATGCCTGTCTCCAGGAGGCTGCCAAATCTGCCTGACCCCACAGCCCCAGGCAAATTCGCAAAGCCAAAGATTGGCACCTGCAGAGGCCGGGCTGAGGACAGTCTGTGTTTGCTTGTTTGCTTCAGAAAAGCTTTGGAAGGGTAGAGTCACGGCACACAGAGCTACTTTCCTGTTCTTCCTGCTCAAGGGACCTGGCTGACCCAACCCCACTCCCCACTGTCAAAAAAAAAAATTATTCAATAAATATTTGTTGCCAAAAAAAAGAATGAATAAGTGATATGTAAAATACTCCTTTCATTGGTCTTGCTGTGGCAGTAAAAGCTATAAAAATCACAACTGAAAAAGGCACGATTTGATAAAATAGAGTTCAGAGGGATAAAAAGCGAACATATTTATAAATTAATTTGTTTTCAATAGAAGACCTTGTATGTGAGGTTCCAACACAGTGAATTTTTACAGTGAAGCTATAAACTCTAAAACAGGGATTATGAATGCGGACAATATAATTTATAATACTTGCATAGCTTTCAATTATTCAGGTGCTCAAAGCCCAACAAATTGAATAATGAACAGGGGTAATGAATTGAACCCAAGAAGCCCATGACGCAGAGCCCAGGGTCGTCAGCGTTGAGCCTGCTGCCAGGACAGCCCTGCGAGAAGAGACCTGTTTGAAGGGCACATCTTCTCTTCCAAGCCAAGACATTTGCTCAACACGTAGGAATTGCTTTTCAGAAATACCCGTTAAAGGTGTAAAGCTGCTAAAATAGCCTGTTTCAGATGGCCAGACAGAGGATTAGAATCATAAATTGGCCTGTTACATTTCCGGAGTGTGGGTCCTCTTTGCATTATCTTTAGCAGTACAGCAATACTGGGAAAGGGAACTGTGGCTGCATGAATCATGAAGGACATCGCTTTCCATTAGGCTTGAAGGTGTGTCCACACTGCACAGATTCTTACCAGTATCTGGTTCGGTGCTGCAGATCAGAAATTTAAATAATGAGGCTCCTTGACAAACTCCACCCAGGGTGACCCACACGACCATGCCCACCTCCCTTGGAATCGTGGAAGGGATGAAGTTCAAGAATCGAGGCTCCACTGCAATCTCAGTTTTCTGGAATCAGGCAAGCAGGGAGCCAGTACCGTGGTGATTGTACTGCCTGGGCATCAAATACTGGCTTCACATCTCAGCTTTTCTGTCTGCAAGACTTGTGTCTTCGGGAAACTACTTAACCTTCTCCTGTTCATTATGTCTGAATCATGGGGATAGTAACAGTGCCCGCCATGTTAGATTATTAGGAGTATTAAATGAGCTGATGTTTAGCATAACATAAAGTGTTTAGCAGAGTTCCTGGTCCATCGTACTCCTGAGCATTAGCCATCACTGCCGGCTAAGGCTGCACGGGTCGAGACTGTCACAGAAAGTCCCACGCTGGGGTGTCTGGCGCTGCAAATCCATGTCCACCACTCACAGGCACAGGTAAGTCACAGGTAAGGGGCTTCTTGTAGTGGTCAGTGCTCCTGCATCTGTAGCAACAACTTTGCAGCAGCCAAGGAAAAGTTCCTGTGGATAACGAGTGTTCATTTACCTGAAGCACTCGTTAGTCTGGGCACGCGGACAGAGACGCACAGTTTGCTCAGAGCTGTCAGATGCCCACGGTCCTGGGCTCGGTTGTTCTCGCCCTGAAATACTGCTCTGCAAAAGGAATTTACAATGAGCCAAGTCTCTGCTGAAATACAAAGTAAACGGAGCACAGCTTTAAAACTAGTGAAGATATGTTCCGAAGAACCTGTGCAGTATGGACACACCTTCAAGCCTAAATGGAAAGTGAAAGTCCTTCACAGTTCATACTTGTGATACAATCATTACGTACTGCAGACATGGACTAATAAAAATGAAACTGTTCAAATTGTTCAGAATTACTTTTTTTTCCTTTTCATTGAGTTTATCGGTACTTTTGGGGTATACAGTACAGTCACACTCATCATTTGGATCTTGTACCTTGCATGATGCATCTTGGTCCTCATTTTTCCCCCATTCCCCTGCCCTCCCTTCACCCCCTACACCCTTCCCTATTTACAAAAACTTTGTTTCTATTTTTTCCTTTTCTCATGTTTTTTCTTTTCCCTTCTTTCCTTTCCCCCACCCTTCCCACTTTCCCTACACCTTTAGCCCTTTCCTTCCTATTTCACATTATCAGTTATACAATTTGGATCTTATTTACACTTTTTAAAAAAACTAGTTTTTCTACTGAGACAATCTTACAAAATTCTCATGGTGAATTACTCTTCTGTACCCCATAAACATGTGCAGCTAAAATAATAATTAATAAAAAAGTTGTTTATAATTGAAAAAAATCTCAGTGGTATTTTATCACCGAAAAATACACTAACTACTGAGGTACATCGGGACTTGTAACTGAAAGTCTGTTCAAACTTCGGGGGAGGTTCGCATTTCACCTTCGCTCACTCGTTCACCAAGGTAACACAGAAGGTGAACGTTAGGAAGGACTTCAGCATTTGTTAGAGGTCAGGAAACTGAGACCAAGCGAGGAAGCTGCTCTGGGGGCCAGGATGTACATGGGATTCTTCAGGGATCGTCAGCACTCCCAATGATGCACTCCGATGTCGAAAGCCTGGAAAATTTGGTGGTAGGCGTGCAAAACTTTTATTTAGCACATGTAATCTGCAGTTTCTAAGGACCTAGTAGTGCTCTCTATATAAAGAGAAGTTCACTGCCATCCATTTATTTAAGATAAAGTTAAAGACACCTGGTCAACACACTTTCTTTACATATCCCATTTGCACACCTACACCACGCATTTGCTTACATGTACAGCTTGCTACTTACATAAATCCCCAAGTGCAGGGTTCTCCTTCCTTTTTACAACCTACCTATAGTATGGGGACACTTTCCTAGGTCCCCATTTAATACTGCAGACTGAATGAGTTCTACAGGGAAGCTGTTGTAGACTGAACTCTGAACTCTAAGGAACCCTAAAAACAGTTTTTTCACTTTAAAAACAGAAATGATGCGAGGCTGGGTTCAAGGAGCCAGGCCTGCCATACTGTGTGACCGCATCACCGTGGCTTCTGGCGTGAAGTGAGCCACTGCATTTACTTCCAACAGCCGGGACCTCGGGGCTGCCTGTATCCAGCGCTCCGAGCAGGGCTCATGGGGGCGGTGCACACGAGGGTAGATGTCGCTGCTGTGACCCCAGTGGGGAGGGAATCTCAACCCCTTCACTGTAGAGTACTCAGCTGTGAGGCTGCGAGGGGACACCTGTAGTGCTGTCCCCAACAGCAGCCTACTGTCTGGGGTGCTCATTTGCCAGGATGTCCCTCTTGGAAAAAGTCTGATCTGCAAGCATCTGGAGGCTTCCTTTCTGGCCAGCACAGCGCAGATGGCCCAGGGAGGCAGAAAATGCCCCCTTCGCCTCCCCCTGGGTGTCCACTTAGGCCAAGACTTATGATGAGGACAGGAGGCCCTTGGTCCCACCTTCTGGAGACCTCTGGAGTGTGCTCACGTTCACCAAGATCTGCAATTCCTCCCTGGACCAGCAGACTGGCAGGAAGAGGAGGTCTCTGCAGCGGAGCACAAAGGAGGAGGGGAGGTTGGTTCAGGTGAGAGGGCATAGATATTCCACCCAAATAAATCCTACTGGGTCAAAATATAGCAAAAGAGGCCAGGAAAATAAGGATTCAATAAAGACACCAGGCAGGGCACTGCTACTCCTAACACTGGGGCACCGGAGGCAGAGAAGGTGCACGGGGTGCTCAGGGTGCTTGCAACACAGTGGCATCTCAATAAATGAAAGCGAGACTTTCCACCGCCTGCATCACCAGTGCTGTCCCCCCACCATTCCGTGCACCACTATCTGCCTCCCAGGGGATAACAGAGTATCTTTTCTTTATCAATTTCAAAAGACCGGAAACTATCCTACTTCTCCCCACATGCCTTACCCATTCAGGTCCTCTGTCTCCAACACAGACACCGAAGCCTCAGTCACTGACGATGACAACCGCCACCGTGGACTGAGCCCTCACATCCACAAGGCAAGTGCCGAGTGCTTCCTACGGATCCACCTCTCGTCCCTCCAGAGGCTCCGAGGAAGCTGGCTCTTCATCCCCGTTTCCAGATGAAGGAGGCTCTTGGGAAAGAGGCGGTGTCCAGCTCAAACTTTCCACAGCTCACAGGAAGACAATGCAAGGCAGCACTCAGGTTCCTCTCTTCGCTAAATTCCATTCTTTCAAAGAGCACCAAGGCCCAGTTTTCTTCTGCGCAGCCCTGTAGAAATACATAGGCATTCCTTTCTCAAAACTTTAGTAGCAGGAGCAGCAGCAGTGGTAGTAAGGTAAGACCATCTACTGAGAAAATTAGGCCCTAGCATGTTTTCTCTACATAAGCAGTGAAGTCTTTTGCGTATGAAGCCCAAGATCTATATGCGTCAAAGTTCCTCAGAGAGATCGTGATGGTGTGTTTTTCTGTGTTCGTTTTTGGAAGCCATTGCTTACTCTCATCCCATTTACAGCTTTAACTCTCATGCATTTGTTCATGCTCTTTCGTGGTCAATTTTTACTTCTTGTTAGTATTGCCCATAGAGTGCTAAATACTCCAAATTATTGCGTGTCAAGATGCCAAATCTCATTAGATTGTGCTGAGTGGCGTATTTCCCCGAAATCTATACGGCAAAGCTCTTCATCTAAATGGGATGGCATTGGGAGGAGGAGCCCTTGAAGATAACCGCGTCACACTGAGATGAGCGCCCCTCAGGGATGGATCAGTGCCCTTCTGAAACCGGATGGGAGGGAGCGGCCCTCCTCCCCCGTCTTCACTGAGGATGTGAGGAAAGGGTGGCTGCCCACGAGCCAGGAAGAGGCCTGACCGTGTTGGCGCCTTGATCTCGAATTTTCAGCCTCCAGCCCGGAGGAAGCCGCACGCTCTTTGGCGTCCCTGCTACAGCACCAGCTAACCGAGGTAGACCGTAGAACAAGGCCACCGAAGAGGAGCGCTGCCCGTTCTCCCCACCCATACGCAGTCTTCTCCTACCTCTGTACTGGCCGTGATTTGCCTCGGCCAGCGGAACATCAGCAGCCGTGAGGACCACAGTTCACGGTAAAAAGCTTGCCCTGGGGAGTTTGAAAGACCCGAGTTCAGGTCCAGGGAGCTGCGATTTATTAGTCCAGACGGTGGGAAAATGACCTGCAGTGCCGGTTCTGACCACGAGATGGCAGAATTTAATTTTCTGAGTCTCAGCGTGGACCCTCGCTGTTCCCCAGCAGCCTCCTGGACGGGCCCAAGTCACCTAACTTCTCTGCGACGAGGGAGCTCACCAGGACAACGAATGCACCTCACACTTACACTGTTCGCACGTCACAAGGGGAAGTCTTCCAGGAACTTGCAGTCAGCGTTGTGCAAGTGACTCGGGCCATTCTTAACCTACTACTGGCGATCACAAGCGGGTGTACCAACTGCAGCTGCCACTGCCTCGCTGCGGTGCTCGGGCTTGCAGATTACAACTTCATTCCTAGGGTCTGTCCTGAGTCACATATTTAAATTTTCCATTCCTACCACCTTTGGTTCATAAACAACTCAATACTTTGGAGCCTTGACCGTCAGATATCTTTTCTAAAGCACGGGGACATGCTGTTAACACAGTTCTTAAATTGCCCTCTTCCCGCTTAAGAACATAGTGTGAACATCTTTACATGTCTGTAAATATATTCCCAAGACTGCATTACTAGTGAGGGTAGCATACTACACGATACAAATGTATTATAAGGTACTTAACTAATCCCAACGTTCACATTAAATAGCTGCTGTAATTTTGTTCATTTGAAACTTTATGCCATTTGCAAATCACATCAATCACCAGCTGTAATAGAAAAATATTTCATATTAAATTTAATAAACATCTTCAATTTCTGGATGCCACACTGGAAACTGAAAATATGGGCCTAGTCATTAAATATGCATTTGGCTTGAATCTTACCAGGACCCACCTCCTTGCCCCGGAGTGTGTGTTGACTGAGAAGCATATTAACATCAGTGCACTGATGGTACTGCTGTTAATCTGGAAAGCAAATCAACGTAGCTTTGTCCCTGCAGACGCTGTGAGGAAATCAAGTCGGTTCATTCCTTGCATCCTGAAACAACTTGATCATAACCAAAAGAATATTGGGGGAGTTTGCGCATGGCCCACAGGACCATCCTTGCCCTGTGAAATAAGCAGGTGGCCCCTACAGCCTGCCTAATAGTAAGCATATCCTTTAGCACCTCTGACTAAATCACGGAGGGTCCCCAACAATTCTCCAGAAAGGAAACCAGAAACATGAAGCCAACAGACTTCAGCAAAGGGTCTCAGGAATGTGCAGATATTTAGACAAAGATCGAACTCTCCCCGGGGGCCCGCCAAGGGTCTGGCTCTCCATTTACACGTTCACATACATGGGGCTCATTTCATTCTCCTGACATCCCCACGGGGTAGGGACTAACACTATCTCCACTTTTCAAAGGAGAAAACAGAAACCCGAAGAGGTTAGTGCCAGTTACTCCAGGACATCAGCTAGTTGGGTTTGCGTGGCAGAAGCAACTTGTTAATTAACTGGTATTTCACACATCAGTGAGCTGTTTAGTGTTAGGAAGCCAGAGTGTGATTAAATTACACCACAAAGCTTCTTTGAGGAGGTGAAGATAGTCGTGTGTGGAGAGGAAAATAAGGACAGGCTACAACTTAATTTGACATTTTCAACAGGATTGTGTCTACAAAAAGAAGGTTAAGCAAATGGAAGTTTCTGTAGACAAAGTGCATTTCCACTGCATGTAGTGTTCCATACATAGATTCAGAAAATAAAGTTCTAGTGCTATTGAAAATAGGGTGAGGTTGTTTACTTGTCCTTTCACAGTCACTCTCGCAAGTCATCTCCCCTCCAACATGGATGGAGGAGTACGGCCAGGACCTTCTGCAGGTTCCAAACTCCCACTACTCAAGGACCCACGTGGATAGGGCATCTGCATGTAACCGATGCACGTCCTTTGTAAATTTTTAGCCACTTATAACACCGAATACAGTGATTATTATAGCTCATGGTTGACAGAGAACCATGACAAGAAAATAAAGTCTGTACATGTTCAGCACAGACACGATGTTTTGCCTGAATGTTTCTGGTCTGTGGCTGGGTGAATCTGCAGATGAGGAGGACATGGGGGGTCAGCCACACCCACCACAGACCCACACTTCACAGTCACCTGTGAGACCCAGGCCCTAGGCCTCCCCAGACAGAACAGAGCTTTCCTAGATGTCAGCGATCCCTCTCTGTTCTCAGCAATCACACAGGGCTCCATCAGCCCATCTGGTGTGGCTCCTGCCAGCATCAACACAACACATGATGGCAGGAATGCCTCTGGTCAGACGCCTATGTTGGGTTATTCAGTCCTTGGTCTAACATTTTGTCTATTCCTGTGGGAGAGGAAATAGGTCCCAACCTTCTATTTCTTTCTCATGTGAACAAAAATCCATGTGAAGTCCTACTTTCAAACTTCAAGTCTTTCAAGCTTTGATTCTCTAATGACTTGGGGTAGCTGAGGTCTAACTTCAGTCCACCTCCTTCTCTTCCCGTGTTGAGGTTGTCTGAAGACAGACACACGGTGCCCGTGTGTGGAGATAACCATCATGATTAGAAAGAAGGGGGACTCCAGGGAGCAATGGCATTTGCTTACCAGTTTACTCTCTGCCCATCCTGTGACGGGAGTGGCGCCCTCCTGTTCAGCCGCCGTGGCCCTCAGCAGCGAGAAGGCACCCAGTGTGGCTGGGCAAAGTGTTCTGGGTGACTGTAGGGCTCCGGGGCTTCCCACAAGCTTAAGATTTCTTCTAGGGCTTCCCCCTCGGTCCTCAGATCAGGGTTTGAGGATCTTTCCTCTACTGAATCCACTCTGGGCTCACACATAGGAGAGAAACGTGACCAGTGTGTAGCCATACTTGTTTACCTGCAGAGCAAGGGGATGAACTCACACCCGGATGAACAACGGCAAATAGAAATAAAACAGGAGCCCCACATGTAGTCTAGACTTTTCTAACAGCTATGTTGAAAAAGTAGAAGATAGGGGTAACTTTATTTCGAAATATTTTACTTAATGCCTATATCCAAAATACTGTCATTTAAATATTTAGTCCATACAAAGGTCACTAATGAGGCATTTTAATCTTTGTTGCTAAATATTATTTCTGCCTAATTGTACCTCAGCTGCTCTACAGCCTCATGTGACCACTGTGTTGGACAATGCAGGTCAGGTCGCTGAGAAACTGCTCAAATCAGAAAGAATAACTTTATAATCAGACACCTTATCAGACACCTGTAATTCCAGGACTCTGAGAGGCTGAGGCAGGAGGACTACCAAGCTGTAGGCACCCTGGGTCATTCAGTGATTTAATGAGACCCCACTCAAAATTTAAAAACGTCAAAAAAAGAAAAAAAAAGGTTGGGGATACAGCGCAGCGTGAAGGCCCTGGATTAGAACTCCAATACCCCCCCACACACACAAAGACTAAATTTAAAAGAAACTGGCTCTAGAAGATGAAAGCTCTGTGCTGGGGGCAGTGCTGGTACATGCTTGTAATCCCAACCCTCAGGAGGCTGAAGCAGGAAGATTGCTGGGAGTTCAAGGCCAGCCTGGGCTACACAGTGAGATTCTGTCTCAAAAAAAAAAAAAAGAAAAAAAAGCCAAAAAGAAGGGGATATGGGGGGGAGGAGAAAGTCAAGGTCAAGGTCAAAGGTCAAGATCAAGGATATTAATACAATCACAAAAGTTCTCAAGATTTTGATATTTGTACCACAGTTAACAAACTTCTCCATAAAAAGTTAAAAACGACTAACAGTAGAATGGCTAATTTTAAGTCTTCCTGCTCTTCATAATAAAATAATATGCCTAACAGAAATCATTATTATAAATACCCATTAATTTTGGAGTTCTATTCATAAAATCTTATCCCGAGGAAAAATATTTTATTGTGCAAAATTATTTATTTATATAAATATTTAATTCAGCACTGTGTATAAGATTACACAATAAATATATAAACATAAATGTTCAATAATATAGGGCTGGTCATATAAATTATAATACTGTAGAGCATTATTTAAACACTCAAAATTGTTTCATAGTTGAACTGCATTGCCTAAAATGATACATTTATATTTTGCTTAGTGACAAAAATAGTAACTTTCTAAAAGTTACTAACATAAGCATAAAAATGAAAAGAATACTACTATAATGTTAACAATGACTCT